CCCCCCCCCCAAAAAAACAAAAAACAAAAACAAAAACAAAAATACACTTTAATACAGCTTGTTTTAAATCACCAGCAGTGGACAGTAGCCTACATTTTTTTAAAGTATTTCCATTTAATTCGACTTCACTACATTTCATAGAAATAGAAAAGTTCATAGAAAAGTATTGCAGTCACTGCTTACTTTGTAGGTGAAGGTTTTGTATACAAAGTCAATGATGAGCTTCTAAAAATACACTGCGTTACTATATTTTCATCTAACTGTAATTTATATGTAGTAAAATTAGTTTCATTTCAACCAGCTACAACATCAGAATGCTGCTTACACAATGATACATCACTCATGATGATCCATTTTTATAATGAATGAGGATATAACTCTGATAGAGTGTTTACTTTTGTTACTTTAAGTATATTTTTTCTGCTAAATGCAAATACATCAGTTCTTTTCCACGAGCAATGTACTGTTTTTTGGGGAATATATAGATATATACTGCACATAATCTAGTTAGGTGAAAAAGAGGACAATAAGTTAATTCACTCAAATTATAGAGTATGATTTTCGTATTAATATCTAGTGGCATGGAGCACCATGAATGGGTGGCTCCATGCTCCATTGATACAGGTGAATGGTTTATTCACAGCATTAAAAAAATGCATTTAAAAATCAACAGCAACATTACCTTCCAGAAATAAAGTCCCAGTTACTCTGGATAATCCACAGTCTTCATTCTGACTCTTTCTATCAAATAAATAGTCCCCATATGAAAACTGTTGATGTAGCTTTGCAATACAATATGTCACTGTCTGTCTAGAAAGTACACCTGTGTACAAGTCATGTATCTATATGATGCATTGTTTCTTCTTTATGCAAACCTGCAGTCTAAAAGTCTATACTATATTGGTTTTGGCTATGAACTGATACCAGCACCCTTAATCACTCACTTTATTCCTATTATTTAAGAGGACCTTGGCTTCCACACACATTTTTCACATGCCATGCCACTGGGAAAATGAACACTTGTAATTTCAATGACTCTTTCAGTTTAAATTGGCCAGAATCACAGCTAGATATCTAGATCTAAAGTAGTGATTCCCAAAGGTGTTCACATTTCTCAGTTCAACTCATTTTTAAATTGTGACCTGTCTGGTTTAAATGGGTGTGTTGTGCTGCTCTAATGCAGTTTTAAATTGTAATGTTTGAAATAGCTGATTGAAAGTTGTTTGTCAAATTTTATAAAAAAATATACTTATAAAGCAAGTTTGATAAAAACATGCTCAAGGTTGGATTTCACTGTACTGCTATCTCAACCTTTTCTGACTTGGTCACGATTACTGAATATAAAAACACAGTTTTCAGTCTCAAAATTTCTTCCAGTATAATCTCCTGAACCTTCATTGGAAGTGTACTTACCTTACTTACATAACTGTACACCTACAAGAACAGTGAGTGCCAGAACACCCAGTGTTTACCACCATCAGTAACTGACGGTACTGTATTAATAACCTGTTTAAATTCATATCTTAATCTTTATCACAAGATAGAAAACCATTAAATCGAGGGTACTCTATGTAGTATACACACCGCTTTACTTAAATATATTCATTAAATATGATTTTCTGCAGATGGAGAGACACAACTTCATGCAACAGTCTGGTTGCTGATTGGCTGGAGGTGTGCATTCCAAAAGTGGGCATTAAAGGATTTTTTTCCACAAGCCACGGAGGCAATTTTGACTTTGTTCAGCTTTTCAGTCTTAAACACAAAACTTGTCATAGATTATTTCTTAATCTTGGCCCCATCCCCGGTCTATAGTCTATAGTCTGCAGCAAGGCATAATGCAGACTCACTTTGCCCAAAACTATCTCAACCTAACTCAAATTAAAATATACAAATGCTTTATTGTAATTTCACAGTCATTATTCACACAACATAGAAAACACAGGCAAGACCAATCTCCTTCTTTTTCGTGTACACACACAGCAACTTCAGTTCATATAGTGGAAACATAGTCGAGGCACTGAGTGGTTGAATTAGTAGTGGTCATTACAATGACAAGAAAAAACAACCATGTGACAATACATTTTTGTTACAAGTGACAAAATACAATTCATTTTAAGATAGAAAACAAAGAAATGTAGTGAAAATGTAGTGTCTCATAAAATGTCATTTTTCAAAATAAGGTAGGTAGAACAATTTGAAGCCTCTTCTTCCACGGACAGCACAGCTGATGTATATCACATGATACACTGGGGGAAATACAGGGAATGACATTAATGTCAACAAACAAACTACTACTATATGCCCAAAGGCAGGTAAACAGAAGTCAAAGGTACCGCATTATCTATTTACCTCCAGGGATGAAGAGAAGAAATCCAGGTACAAAGAAAATAGCACTTGAAACACCTGTAAGGAGAGTTTCACTGGTTACAACCCACAGCAGACACACAGTCTCCAACACCAACTTCAACACTGGAAAATATGCTTATCTGCTTTCTAGCCAGGATACAGATGAGAGGATGATAAATATGAAGTTACAGCCAGGAGACTAAGATAAAGACTGTAAACAGGAGGAAACAGGTACCACACAGCTCAGTCCAAATGTAATAAAATGCATCTAAAGCTCACTAATGAACATGGTATACCTTGTTTGTTTAATCGTTACAAAATCTGAATTGTAAAAGCGATTATTTCTGGTTTTATGGGGTTTACGTGCAGAATTAATTCCTGACAGGATGGAGTAACTTTGTGGAGGTTATTGCGTCCTACACATATGTCTTTTTAACCAAAAACATATAATTTAATCATAATAAAGGGTTAATGTGCAGCACTTGGCAGCATTTGTAATCTGAGACAATCTTTAGTTCCCGACTTTGTTTCGCTGACATTTGTCAAACAATATTACTGCTGCAACTATACATCTGTGGTGTTGGCAACATCATCTGTAATGAAGTGTTTCTTTATGATATCATTTATGTATAATAATGCTGTTCTGTCACACATTTGACTGCAGTTTCTGCAACTTGGGTATTGCACTTGGCCACATTGCAATTTCAATAATAACTGGATTAATTGTGCAGCCCTATCTACAACTATTGCCCCACTGTCTCACACCTTTTCGTTTTTACAGCTCTATTGTATTTATGAGTAGTGGGTTGAGAAACACTGCTCTATATCTAGAAAAGGACTTTGGCCTTGACAAACTGCTGCTTTCCCGCCATATGATGGTATCACAACAACAATATAAAGACACAATTACAGCCACAAAGCTTCATTTGTGGGCAGCCAGAATACACATTCATAGAGTTCAATAAATCCTGTAATAATTCTGAATTATACAATTTAAATACATGAAAAGAGAAAAACATGTGTGAATTTGTTTCATTAAATACAATTTTTATGGAGTATGTTTGCAAGTTAGTATTTTGTTGTGAAATGTTTCTGATCATGTCATTTCTTTCATGAAATGTTTCTTTCACTGCTTTTTTACTTCTGTATCAGCTCAAGCTTTCTCAGTATTTTAATGTTTTAAGCCTAACTTTTATTTTTAAGTATTCACTACATGCATTTAGTTGTTTGCCTAAATGGTGTCTTTTCCTTACCTGCATTTGGGTTCAGCTGTATGACAACACCCGTGAAAATGAGAGCTGAAAAGAAACAATACAAAAGTACATCAGCAAAGGGATAGTATAGAATTTAGTACTTCAACATTCATTTTTTGATTAACTTGTATAACTGTGGCAAAAACCTGTTATAGAAAGAGGATCAACAAGGGGACAAAGTTCAGTGTGCCAAGCATGTCACTGAATGACACAACGCTGAACAAACTACCTGTTGTAAACTTGCAAATCTATTCAAAGCAGTAGGTTTATGTAAAAATAATGGAGGACATTTCATATGAAACACTTTCTTCATATAACATTGTTTCTGTGCGGTTTAAATATATAAATATATATTTATTCTAGTCATTTAAATGTAATTTTAACTTCTTCAAAGATGAAAAATGCATATTTTTTTCATTCTTAAACCATCTACAAGCAACTAATTCCCATGAAGCTAGAATAATAACAAGAAACAGACAGACATAAATAAAACACATTTCTTTCTCTCTGAGATTATATCACAACAGAAAATTCAGTTCAGCTATTTCATATCTAATGAGCCAGAAAACAACTCTGCTTAAGACTTACCAACTCCAGTGATGAGGAGAAGGAATGACGCGAGAACAACTCTTCTGTTTTTCTTCACCAGCGGATGAGACACCCACCTGAGCAACACATGTTTTTTTTTTTAAGTAACTGTGTTTGTTGTTTTTCCTCTGTGAGTCAGCGTATGTGTGACAATGTGTGTGTGTGTGTGTGTGTGTGTGTGTTTGAGTTGTTTGAACGTACCCGCAGCAGTGTGCAGAAAGCTGTGTGACGGAGCTCAAGGTGCTAAAGGACCACTGGGAGCTGCAGTAAGACAGAGTCGCAGGGTCACTGTGGAGAGAGCATAAACATACTTTATCTCATATTCAAACCTCATGCAGGCAAAGAGGAGAGAGGGAAAGTCACATCAATAGTCCTATATAGGACCCACCTGATTTTGAAGAAGTTATTGAAAGAGGAATTGCCATTGCTGCCCAAGGCGTCTTCATTTTCCAGATTCTAAAGAGCCAGCAGATGATAAAAAAAAGTTGCAGTTTCGAGTAAACAACTTATGGCCCTATATTTGTACATGCAGTACGTGTACGCATACCTGATACTTTAGATTACTGTGTTCAGGGGAGCCAGCGGCAGCAGCAGGCGAGGGGTGTGTCTGAGGTTTGGAGAAAGTTAGAGGACCAAATGTCATCTCTCCTTCTCTTTCCTTGTCTTTGCCCTTCCATCCCTCGGTCTCCCCATCGGACACGGCTCCCTCCTCGTCTCCCTCCAGTACGAAGGCATCATCAATACTAAACTGCGTAGCCATGGTGACCGCCTCTTACACCCGGAGGTCCTGTAGCTTGATGCTCACTGTGGGAGTAAAAAAAAAATCAATGTACATGGACCACAGCTATGAAACACATTTTAACATTCAGCAAATGGTAACATTCATTTAAGGGCTATGGTAAAAACGTATTATTGCAATTATTTGAACAGATATTACAGGATTAGTGGGAGAACGATCAGCTTTGCATCACAAATTTAATTTCCTCTGAAAAGACTATTAAAATGATGAGGATGTGAAATTTGTTAGGGTCCTGTAGCAAACAATCATGTTTCTTAAATCTGGAGAACAAGGCCTGTAGAGGAGGGCATCTGCAGAACTAGAGTTATTTATTAAAATTATTTTATTTATTTATTTCTACACATTTTACCTTTATAAAAAAAAGCTGCAGCTTCCTTCGATTTGCACATTGCACTTAGCTGTGCGGCCCTAATTCTCTGTATAAAATGCTCCTTTATGTATGCCAGGACAAAAAGCTAACTTTAAAGAGTTATTTTTAGATTTAGGGTGTAACTTACACCCCTGTCAGCCTTGGCTATTTCTCTTTAAACATTTAAAGCACGCACGCACACATGCTTATACGCACACAAAATATAGTCCATATCATCTAGCTAAGCAACAAACCTAACCACTAAAACAGCGCATACAGCCTCACAGTCAGAAAGCAGCGACAGCAGCAGCTCCACTCGACCTTATTGAGCGGATGGGACCAAAGTTAAAGTAAAATACACCAGCAGCTACTCTGCCATTGTTTGAGCTCTTTCCGCTAGTCGATCAGATGACCAGGAGGAAAACTTACTGTCTTGAGGAGTTCAATCTTTTTCTCTCCAGGGAGGCCGAGCTCCACTTCCACGTTGTTAGGACTCGGGTCACATTGTTCACTCTGTGGAAACTCCGTGTAAAGTCTTCCTATCAATCTTTGTTTGGTTCAAGAGTACAAAACAAAACAACAACAAAAGATTTGGAGAAAGTTTTGAGCCTCTTCCTTTTTTTTAACACCCGGCTCTCGATTACACACGACTGATTACGCCCAGAGACGAAGCTACTCAGGAGTCAGGCCTCTTAATCGAGTGTCGATTTCTCATAAGATCAGTGGCGGAGGAAGGATTCAGATCATTTACTGTAGAAATACTTTATTACAAGGAAAAGACTTCTAACAATATAACTACGTATTTTAAATACTAAAAGAAAAGTAGTCAATGCAGAAAAATGGCTCCTGTGAATGTTACAGCCTACTCAATGGTACAAACAAAATAATTAAAAGCTGCAACTTTTCTCATTTGAGAAGCTTGAACCATGAATGTTTTTGTATTTTAACATTAAAAATTACTTCCACAATTACCAAGATAGTTCCCATAATGTTTAGTGAATTTGCTATATATATATATATATCTATATAATATATATATATACAGCTGTCAAATAAATGTAGAATATTCCCAGCTCAAGTGTAGTGTGGTAGAA